TTTATCCATTATGTTAGAAAAATACAACAGCCTGTTGGAAAGATGGGAAACAGCTTGCCTGGTTCTGTCCACAGGTAACATTTGCCTGCTGGCACTCAACAGCTCACAAACTGACATGTTATATCTTTTTTGTTTGTACAAAAAACAACATTTAAAAAATACTATTTTATTGTAGGCGGCTGTGGCTGAGTGGATAGTGTGCTGGACTTCTAATCAGGGGATAGCTAGTTCGAGTCCCACTGCAGTCAGCATGTCGTTGTGCCCCTGGGCAAGACACTTCACCCCAAATTACTCCTGTGGGGATTGTCCACAGTACTGAATGTATGTAAGTCGCATTGGATAAAAGCGTCTAACAAATGACATGTAATAATTGTAGGCTTCCTTTTCATGGCTTGCACAGTTTGTTTGCTAGCTGTTTCCAGTCTATGTGCTATAGGCTAAAAATACAGTTTTTTACGGTCGCTTTATATTTAATTGACGAATATGTAGATGATACCAATCTAATCATTTAACACTGGACAAAAAGAGCAATATTATCCCAATGCGTCAAACTATATGTTAGCTTGACATTCTGCTCTCAGCTGGTTTGCACTGTGGTTATTTTTAAAGCACGCTCTACACTTAATATTAAACTCTACATTCAAGCCAAGGTACATAAGGTGTTGTTTGAGAACAGCCAGAGACACGGCTATGTGCAGAAACACAATCATTGATTGCCCCATTTAGAGGAAATATCAGGACTTCACTGATCAACTGACTCTGCTGACAACGGTCAATTTGTGGGTTACTTCAGCAATTTGTAGACTTTCTAAAGTGGAGATAGAGCAGAATATTGTGTGTATTCTTTTATGGTTACCACATTTACTTTACACTTATTTAATACTGCAAGTATGAAGGCCATTTTATATACAGTGTGAGACTATGAAATGTGTTCAATGTCAGCAATTTAGCTATTTTACCATAGAAGGTTTTGCTTTAATATCTCTAGCTTTCCCTTGTCGGCAATAACTGTATTGAATGGATTTATTGGATTGTTATAGATGTAATACATTGCTGTGCATAGTTTTATTGCATTAGTAGTTGTCAGGTGTTAAACTTGTTGGATTAGCCAAAAACAGACGTTCCCATCTGGTTTAATTTATCATTTCACATTTTTTCAATTGTTATATATTGACATAATATAACATTGTATAGGCTGTTATAGAGGCCATGGCCACAGGAGCACTGAGTGAGATCGGGATGGCTCCTGTCACAGGCAAAGTATTAAGATAGAACGGCCCAGCATTGTGTTATTATTGTATAACTTGAGCTTTTTGACACAATCCTCATCATTATTTTATCTTTTTAATATCTTTAAATGTGGTACTCTATCATATACTACTTACAGTATTTACAATGTGTACGTAATTGCCCTGTTTTGTTGGACTCTTGTTCTGCTGACTCACCTCACTAGATCTTTAGGACGGCAGTGAAAAGATGAAATGCATTGTTCAGATCAAATGATTGCTTTCTATATTTAATAACCAATCATTCTTTTCTTGGAAACTTTAGAAAAGAAAATATGAACATTTTGTGATTGCACTTTGACGACAGAACACTGTTGATTTAGTTGCTTTATTAATGTGGCTCTAATTTAAAATATCAGGAACTGTTGTTCATACTGTGAGGTAGGGCTCAGCCCCTTTTGTTTTTTACGCTTACAATTTTGCTGTGTTTGATTTATTCAAGTGGAAAGTGGTTGGAAACGTAACACCTTAAATAAGCTTAGGCCAGCTTCCTTATGCTCAAAACATATGCAAATAAAAGGGATAAGCAGAGCCTCTGATTCTGAAACTCACTGTGCATAGCTGACACTCTAATTAGACAACAAGGCAAGGGATTATACAAGTAAACAGAGAGAGAGAGATACCCAATCCAACATGAAGGGCTATATGTGACACTAACAAGTGATACTTTCAGAGAGTCTCCCAGATTTGATTAACCGCACAAGTGAGGGAATATTTTAACAGACCTGCACAAATGCGGTGGCAAATTGGAATGTCTGGTAAACAAGTTGCTACCTTCTTTTATGTCCTTATGAAATGAAAAGAAGCTACTGCATCCATCCTCTGACTGTGTGGTCCATCACTCGCACAGAGTAAATGTGAAGTTTATTTTGGTTTGCTATAAAGTCAAAGAGGTTGTATTAATTTATTTATGGAGTTATCTGTGTGGGTTCACAGTAAACACAGGCATTAGTGTTCAAACAGAGTGACACATCTAAAAAGTGACAAATATCTCTTTCATATTAGGCTATAAATTGTCCCCCCCCCCCTCCTCATCATCTCCAGACTCTTTTTATGTCCCTCCCTCCCTGCTTGTTTCCCTCGTACAGTGCAGGGCTGTACTGCACACAGAGCACAGCAGGCTGAGCACGCTGCGGAGCTGTTTCGATAATGTTTTCTTCTGATGCTGCAATCTTTAAACAAGTTTTTCCTGGCTTGTTCTTACATTTTTTATTAATCTGTTCTTCTATTTCACTGCCCAGAAGATACACTGCATGATATTTCCTTATACCTACCTCACAAGCCTGGCAAGTAGATCAGACACATCCATCAACAGTCTCATAAACACTGTAATGATACAAGCCCAATGATTTTCATTAATTTTTTCTCCGGAAAGTGTTTCTCCAAGTATGAAATAGTGACATTAGATTTACTGTAAAATAACAATAAAGATTGTTATGATATATACAAAGCTTTAGATTTAAAGCGCAGGTTGATTTATATCAGCACCACCAAACTATGAAACATGTCTTCACCTCAGCCATAACATCTTGGCAGTGTCTGACTTTGCACTGGTCATTGCACTAAATGATGCGATAATTATTCAGGTAAAAAATGGTCACTGACACCCCACACTCCCATCGGTCCTGAGGAGGGAGTGTGTTTTGTCTTGATAGATGAGCTGGATCCCTCCCGGGGTGTGTTGGGAGGAGATGACATTCCTGGGCAGCGCTGGCCCCGGCTTCCTTCTTCCGGATGATGAGACTCTTGTAGGGAGGAGTCTGCAGGCTTCATTTACTGAAGCAGCGGGGAATAATATAGTGCCAGCGTTTGGATGTGTCAGGTCCCATATCTCTGGCTGTTCTATTAGAAATAGACCCCGATGCGGGACAATTAACCTCTGGCCTTAGCAGCAGATCTGTGCAGTAACAGCCCTGCACGGGGCAATAAATCAAACCCAGAGGGATAAACCCACACTCCCTCCCTCTGCTGGATGGCTCTCACTATCACCCTATAGACCGAGCTTACACGATGGAAGATATGCTCCGGTGTTATCGTATAATCACTGGAGGAGCAAGAGCGATGTAATGTGTTGGATTTATGCAAGGGCATCGCTAGTGTTTGTGCTGCAGTGAACACACCGTCTGAGGAAAGTTCAACACCTCGGACAAACTGTTACCCTTTTAAACAGGCAGCAACAACTTCTTTGGTATCTCATGCTGCTTTCTGGCAAGGGGAAAATAGGTTTATATAGAACAGCACTGTAAGGTAAAAGGTTTCTTAATTACCAATGACTGCTGGAGGTTTGCTGGTTTCACACAGCCAGACTATTTTTATAACAAGCTCAATGTCCCAGTTTCTTCTGCCATTTTATTCTCGTATTATTACTAATTCACTCATCGAATTGCACCGCCTGTGTCAATCACTACCAGCAGAAATGTGTGTATAGCAAAAAGTACATGCATAATATTTTTGGCAGAACCAATTTTGCCAACCTATTGGATGAATTGCATTGGCAACCCTATACATTTTTCTTGTGCCCTCGTTTCCATTGGACTGTAATACAACTAAACCAGTCCATCAATCGCAGTAACCTGTTAATGACTGGACGCTGTGGCTATTATAAATTGGTAGTAAAAAAAGAGAATTATAAATCCTCACTACAGTGAATATGGCGTTTTACTCAGCAGCCTGTCATATTGAGACCATTTGTTTAATGGTGGATTAGGGAAAAGAATGGGCAGCCATAAAGCAGCACACCAAAGGGGTCACCTTCAGGAGCTGCTCATGGTTATTCCCATCATTAGCATGTCATGTCTCGTGCTGTCCTGCTCCAATTATTCCTGAAACAGGCTCTGGTATTATGACTGTGCTGTTTAAACTGCCCACTGTTACCCTGTAATTCTCACACCAATGGTCTAATGTGAAATATGGCAACAGATGCAGAACTGAAACACATTATTCAGGACCCAAGGGCCATTAAAGCCATAGCTATTAAATATAATTTGAAAAAATTAGCTTTTTTGGCGCATGGAATAGCAGGTTGTGTGGTATTATGATAATCACTATATTCCCCAGGGTAACCACTTCCACCAAATGTTTATTATACTATTTGAATGCCTTTGTGAATAGTCTTTGGGATATATAGTTCTGTTTGTGGATGCTTTATGGGAGGGGTAATTCTCCTCTGATGCAGGGGCAATTATCGCTTCCGCCTGGGATTGTGTTCCTTTGTGCGAGTCTGGAGTAATTACAGCTCATTGCTTGATTTGTTGTTTGCCTGAGAGCATTTGTGCACATGTGAACAAATGATATTTAAAACAACTTTGATGCACAATAAACTGTGTGTTTGACATAGGATAGTGGGCTTGAATTCAGGACGATATTTACCATTCAAACTAATGCTTTAGTCTAATGGTAAAGCCTCTTAAGAGGTTCAGAGAAATTAAACAAAAACAACACCAAAGCTCTGTTATATTAAGAAATGTTGAGTTGTGAAAACAAACATTTTTAAGCATTCATTTCAACATCCTCTGATTCTAGCTTCTCAAATGAGTGTTTGTGACTGATTGATGTGCAATTTGTCCAATTTAAAAGAAGCAAACAATTCACAAATGAATTAAAAATGAAAATAATTGTTAGTTGCAGCACTGTCTCATCAGTGAGGTCGATCTAACTCTTGTTTTAACAATGTTTCTTTGACTGATGGCCATTGTTTTCATTTTCTTCTTTCAGCGGCCGGCTGCACGTTCGAAGAGGACTCGGACCCTAGTCTGTGCGACTTCACCCAGGGGGAGGAGGACGACTTTGATTGGCTGCTGTTTCGGACGTACAGTTCACCTTATGCCAGCCCTGACCTCCTGCGAGGTGAGTGCTACCCTCTGCTTCAGTTGTTCCGTTTTGTGTAGTTTAAAGTCTGTTGGTGTGCAGATTAGAAAGGAGCTGAGAAGGAGTTTGGCCTGCCATTAATCTGAACCCCCGCAAGTAAGAGTTCATGGGGCAAAGGACCAGAGGCTAATTCTTGAGACATTGCAGCATTTGTTCTGTGCTTCGGTTTCTTTTTAAATTATCAGAAAAATAAATGGACTTTTGTTTGTGAGGCTGGCATATCGGAAAAGTAGGACTGCAAATCAGCTTTTAGAGATGTCCAGTGTCCATTATGTTGCAGCTTTAATGAAGCACTCACCCCAGTTTTGTCTGCTTCCCGCTAACCCCTATGGATAATTTTATGTTAACCAGCCTCACAGGACTAATGGAAACCAGCATTCTCCTGCAATCACGCTCTCTCCTGGTGTTTGCCAGAGGGAGATGGTATGCATAGTTTATAAGGCACTACTCTATAGCTGCATTAACAAATACCTACAGGGATCTGACAAAGAGAAGAGTGCTGTTTCAGCTTCTCAGCAGAAATATAAATGGCAGCAGTGCTAAAAATACTTAGACTGTGGATACTTGCAGTATGATTAGGAGCCTGGCCTCCCTTGGGTATAACAAATCAATCAATCTATGAGATAATATAGGCAATTTGACTAAAAAACATGTACTTAATTGTACATGAGAGCGAGAGAGAACGAACTTGCATGATCAGTGGAAGAAAGGACTGACAGTTAATGAGGGATAAATACAGATGGATAAGCTAAGAGGAACAGATGTAAAGATGACAAGATAAGACACAATCAGATATAGATATATGAAGAAGTAATAATTGAAAGAACATGCCATCCTTTTGGAAAAAAACAACTGAAGTAGCCTGTGAAAATGGTCGGTCAAAAACGTCCTGCAGGGATAAATGGCGGTATTTTTTGGAACTTGATAAATCCCAAATGTATCCTAAACTATTAAACTGAACCTCATTCACCTCCACATCATCAGCATTCGAGCTAAAAATCTGCCTGCAGCCACTAGCCAATTCACAGCAGGCTATGGGATAATTAATACTATTCCCTTTGGGTGTAATTAAAACTTACTGCTATGGCATTTATAGTGATTGGGTGCCTTCAGTAGAACAGACATGCACAGGTGGAATGAGACAGGTACTGTAATCTGCACATGGCGAGAGGGCAGGAGAGGCTTTGAGCATCAACTCTCGATCGATGACTTCTCAGAACCAGGAGACAAATACAGTTTCATTTATTATCTGCTCATCCTTTAGCCCCGCACCAGAGGCAGTGTATTACTCATGTTCTTCACATGATTGGTGTCACGGTGACACTGTCCCTTCGTTAGGCCAACCTTGACATTTCAACTGTGGTATTTTAGTTTGATAATCTTACTGCAGAAGCCGGTACAGGATTTGTTTCGCTCCCTCCTTTCTGGCTTAATCCCCCTGTGTATCACATTGGGCAGCCAAGGTGGGGGGGATAACAAGAGTTTATGAGATAAGGCTATTTACATTGGACCAGTATTAACTTTGTGGGGCTGAGAAACTGGTGTCGAGGGAAGATTAGTAAACACAGCTGAGAAAGCTGCTGCTTGTGGCTCCCAGGAGAAATTAGAAAATAGCGTTCCCATGAAAGATAAAATAGTCTTGGGGAAAAAAAGAGATACAATGCGAGGAGGTCTTAATAGGAATTAACCATTTTTATCACGTTCCCTGCTATTTTGAATAAGATCGGAGGTGCCAGTGTTGCTATTGAAATTCTTGAAATCTCTCACAGTTTTAATGAACAAGTCAGGCTTGCAGTATGATGACCTTGTAAAGAAGAAGGCATCTGCATGTCAAGTATACCTCTTTTCTGAAAGGCAGATTCATTAGCTTGAAACGTTATGTCTCTGCTGCAATAGCCAGTAATGGGTTGCAGGGTATCTTCAAGGAAAGATCCATTAAAGACTTTAGAAGCCTCAAAATCAGCTCATTGTTGTTTTATTTGACCACCTTGTTAGATCTGATTTCTCTTAACGGGTCAACAGTTATGATGTCTATATTTTCCCAGCAGAACTAAGGTGATTAAAAGAATAACTTTTTCATGGCTACAAAATCATCAGCCAACATAAAGTTTTTGTCAGCCTGCCAGAAGCAAATAGCATGCCAAAAACAACAGCATCGTTTTTAGACTGCTGCAATTTTCACACACAAAGAAACAACAGCATAGAGCTGCCTTTTTCTTTATTTATTGTGATTCTTTCAATAGATGCAACAGGGATGCAATTGTTTGAAGGAGACAGGTAGAGGTGGGAAAGGGGACTGTTGACTCCAGAGCACTTGTCGACAAAATAGGGATAATCTGCTAAGCAATTGGAAAGTTCTACCTCTATTCTTTTTCAGGCTCAGGAGACATGGCTGAGAAAACATTTGTGATCCTAAATAGTAAAATATCTTGTGAGCAACAGTCTATCGGAGGCTTGATGTTTAATTTTACAAGACTACTACACCCATTTAACATTGCAATTCAATGAAACATTTTTGAACATTACTTAGGAAGTTAAAGAGGTTATACAGAATTCTTAAATTCTACAATTATGTATTGAAGGGTAATGTAGCCTCGAACAGCCAAGCAAAGAGAGGTAGTGGGCTACTGACTCAGGTGACATCATTTGGGGTAGTTATCAGACTTTTTGAAGCTACCTCAGGAGTCACCAAAGGCTTTACACATTGGTTTCCAGTCATTCTCCCAAACACCTGCAAACAAACTTTGATATGTAAGATTTGTTAGGTTCCCCTTTGAGTTCAGTCATTGGAATATGTGAGTGCTACAGAAAGGCTCTCTATTAAACGCAGTGCAAGGTGTTCGTTCTTGTTGAAGTGCCACTGAGCACAAGAATCTGCCTGGTAGTCCATCTCAGCAGGGATACAAACACTGTCACAAATCGGGGCTTTTCTTTCCAGCATACAGCAATTCTATGATGATACTGAAATAGAGCTGAATTATGTTTCTTATTTATTACCACGTGTTGCTGCTAATCTTCTTTCTTTTTGTAATGTCTACCATGCTGTCCAGCTTCACCATTCAGTGTAACTTCTAAAACTGGGTTTTGCTGCAGGCTGTGATCTAGCTCCATCTGTATTTGTACATCGCATTGCAACAAGCTACAAAGTCAATTGATCGGTTGTTTTATGAGCCACTTGCACAATACATCCTTACATAAATACCCAGAGACATTCTGAATAGGCTCTAAAGTTTGATGCGGCCTCAGCTCTGGGGAAGGTTAAGACTTAAATGAAGCATGGCTCTGAGCGTTGTCCTGGGGTTAGAGCCTGGTCAATCGTGTCATGTGATGACCTCAAAAGAGCCAATTCATACAGTAAAACACGCAGACCTCCATCTGTATCTCTGGCATCCTCTACCAGTCGGCGATGGAAGGCAAAGTCATATATTCTGCCCTTTATTATCTGTCACCTCTCACCCCTGTCTGGCCACGGGCGCGCCGCAGACCAGCTGCACACGAGTGCGCACGTGTCATTGACAGCGACCCGAGATTCATCTGCGTCTGAGAAAGGATTAGGCAGAGCGAGGAGACAGAGATACCTCCACTGTAGGAGAGGGCGTTGTTATCAGAGCTGACCAGCCATCCTCGCTGCTTTAATACTCTATTACACTGCCGTCCTCCACATCTCCCCTCCAGCAGTGTGCATTTACCATATATATGCAGCATAAATATATCATCTCATTTAAAGATCTTCATTTATCGTGGACTCCAAACTCAGTTGGTTTTCTCTTATAACGCTTACGGCCCGTCCACACAGCGGCGTGCGTTGACGCTTCCAACGTTTCTGCCGATTCACTTTGAATGGGGTGACGTCACTTTTAGCCGAACTGCATTTTGGGAAGCGACGTGGAGCGTTGCTGGCGTTGTTCGCTTCAAAAGTTGAGCAATGTTCAACTTTTGACGCCTCGACGGAGGCGTCAGCCAATCGAATCATATGCCAGTACAAGCTCTAGCCAATCAAACCGCGTGCTTGTGTGTCTGGGGCGGGAGATTCATGTGATTGGTTGTTGGTCGAGTGTCAGACACGCCCGCCGGCAAGCGTCAACGCACGCCGCTGTGTGGACGGGCCGTTATAGCGAGGGGGATATAGCGGCCATAGACGTCCTTCAGATCGTTTTTTATTTAGGAGTAGAGGAAATGTGCTGTTTTGTCTACTTGTATTTGCATTTGTTTAGATCATTTATGTAAAATAAAAGATGAAATCTTTGGTCAACGCATAGAGACCAAATAATACAAAAGACATATTAACCAGGCACAAGATTCACATATTTAGCATTATTTGCTACAATTGGGTAAGTTAATAGGCAACAGTTGTTGTTTTTAACCAGGAAATCAACCGTCGCTGGCCTAAAATGTCACTTTAAGATGCTGTTGATGATGAAAAATGTAATCAAAGTCCCTTAGCTCCTGCAATTATTAAGTCAAGCTTTTTCAAATTGCAAATTCAAAACATTATTTTTTACATGTCAAAGGACAATAACCACGTTCTCCAAATCTCCTAACCTGGTTGGGGAGAAATAACTCTTTCTCTCTGGACTGATGAAGTATATTTCTGTTCATGTTTGAAAAAGGAGGGAGAACAGATGAAGGTGCGGTTGAGTAAACCTTAATAAAAAAAAAGAAGTCATGTAGTGGCTTAAGCAATGCATCAGCTTCCCAGGTAAAGCTCGGCTTCAAGGCTAGCACTGTGCGATGATGAATGAAATTAGGGATGAGATAGAGCGCTCTGTTGTGTACTCTCCGGAATGATATGGCATCTTCTGTTCAGATCAAGAGCAGGAACTTTTTAACATCTTCTTGCTCGAGTGCTTTATTTATCATTTAACTTTGGTTGCAGAGGACGGAGGTAGAGGAGTCTGCACGGTTTTGTTTCAGCCAAACGTTCCACCAGCTGATTTCAGTGATCAACACACCTTCAGTCAGAGAGGGAGGAACTAATT